ATGCGATAGCGAAGTGGTCAGCAGAAAATCTCAAAACTCGACAGTATCGCCTAGCACCACACATAGCCCTCAGGATACCGTCGAATTCACTGAAGATGTTAAAGACCTAAACTCAGACGTATGTTGATTTTTTCATTAAAAGTTTCATTACTCCTTACGAACATACCGGTCACAGTGACTGTCGAGTACATATGCCCATTCCTGTCAACCAACCGAACGACCGGCAAAAATCATCATACTGACTGCGGAAAAGAAGACTATGTTCCTCTTAGTCCCCTTTCAAGGGGCGCGACAAATAAACTCCTGAGAAGGAGCCTTTTCCAAGCCGTTTCACGAACTTTCACGACAGCGATAGTTCAGGTAATATTCTCAACCAACCACGACTAACATGGAGATGGTTAGGGAAAGTTACCAGCTCAGACCTCCTCCATGCTCATTTACTCATTTACTTGCTCCTGTGGAGCAGGCTGCATTGGTCGTACGAGTCGATGCCTATCCACAAGAATAAGAGAATACCTGCCGGTATGACTTAGGAAATGTGACGTTAAGAGTATACCCAGCTCCATCCTCGAACCCATGTTTGATTCTAGGCATCGTGTGGAGCAGAACTAAAACTTCGAATGATATGCACTGTCTCAACTATCTCAAACGACTGGTACAGAGCCTACAAGTAACACCAGAAGCGACAGTGATCAGGTTACAGAGGCGGGTCCTACACGCTCCGCGTATACCGTGGACATGGATCGATAAACTGTGTGTATGTCTCCGCGTTTCCTTCCCCCTCGTGGCACTGCCCTACTTAATCCTCACTGTCACTTACTCCCTCCTCTCCCCTATCCCTCCACCCTCCTTTATTCACACACTCCGCTTGTATGAAAAGGCGGACCGCAGTCGATTACTCTTGTCACTCACAGGTTTCAGTTTGTACCCCGTTCCCAAATAACTATAGTGGCCCAACGGGAATTTATCAAAAACACGCGTATGATCGTCAGATGCTCTTCTGAGTGTTGTTTTTGATTTGAAGTGGTGCTTTCATTATGTGAGCGAGGAGGGCCTATGCAAAACCATAGTGTGTGTGACAGAATATTGATGAAATCGTTCTATAATGAACAAGCGCGCACACAGAAAAGAACAACCGAAACTATGCAGAGACCGGAGGCAAACACCAGGCGTCAGATGCTGAGGCTGGAAGACCCACTGCCATGATATGAAACGTTTGGAGTCGTTTATTGCATCTGGTCTAATTGCAGAGAAAGCAACTACGTCGGCGACGCCGGGAGACTGCTCCAAACACGAGCGACCGAATACGCGGCAGCAAGGCAGAGAAATGGCGTCCGGACTCGACTTGCGGTTCATTAAACGACATCAGGTCACAGACTTAAATTCGATGAGGCCGACATTCTCGTTGGCGTTGGCAGTCGCGAGAGCCACGAGCTATTTGGGTGACGGTTCACTGGCTCCCCAGTTGATTAAAAAGTGCAAAAACCTCCTCCTCATTTCATATTCGGTGCTGAGACGTAGCCGCGCATGGAGCGCACAAGCGAACAATATTTCCAACACCTTGGTGGGTGGGCCAGTTCGTTGAGCCACCATCGCAGTAACATTTAACACCCGTGATGAAATTGCAACGATTAACGGACTAGATGTCAGTCGTCAAGCCACCATCGCACTGACTGCAGACATTCCTGAGTTTCAGGTGTGTTGAGGCATGGAGACTGCCTCCATGCTCTGTATGAACCACCCACATCTGTAGTTGTCTCTGACGATGGAATCGAGTAGGAATTTGAATCGTCAGGCAAATAAAGCTTTTGTTCCAACGATCATGTTTTCGGCTTCTTCAAAATCAAAAATTATAGCAACCGAACGGAGGAAGGAGCACGTGGGGCCTGTTACCTCCAAAACCAGTGTCGCAAAATGGATATCCAAAGACATTTATAACTCCCCCGTTACGCCGTCGCTCCAGGCAACTCGGACGCAAGCACCAACAGGGATGTGGTGTTCTCCGCAATACATTCAGGATGTTTCAGAGGTGACCGATCGAAATGATGCGGAACTAGGTTTCGAAATTACAAAGATATGACAAATAAAAATTAGTTAAATCTGATACAGAAGTCGATTGCATTATATCGCATTTCCTGCCAAAACTGCTCTCCTAACTACACAGGTCAGAATGGATGCTGCTCTGACTGTGTAAACACAAAAAGAATATGACTGTGCGATGAGGGGCGGATTATCGCAGCTAGCTGCCCAAACCCATGAAAAAGGTCATGAGTTTTACCTTGAAGTCAACAAGATAATTATCCACAGAGGAAAAACTAACTTGAAGCCTTGGCTCCGAATGTGAGCTCGGCCAGTCGAGTTATGTATCTGAGTTCGATGAACAGGGCACTGCGCAGTGGGGAGTAGGGAATGCGGTAGATGCCAAACCAGTCTGTTATTACTTCAATCTAATGCACGCGCAAGTCACCATCCTGTTGTGCAACTGCCGTCGTGCAGGTTTGTGTGCGTGTGTGTGTGTGTGTGTCACAGGAGTCAGGGAGCAGTGTGCCTGTTTCCCCTGGCTGTGGAGCGCACGGTGGACATATTCGAATACGAAGGTCGAAATGTTGTTTGCCCCTCCTAAAAAGGGCCACACGGTAGTTGAGCTGGACTAACAGATAGGGGCCAGATCCAAGACCGGCAGGTGTTATCGGTAATGCGCAGCCATAAAAAAGCCAACCCTGTGATGGCGGACCCATTTGCAGCCTCCGCGCCGACTGGGACCCCTGTCCTGTATTTTTGCATTGTGTATAATAGTGGACTGTGTGGGCTGTGTACTTGGGAGTATGGCAGTACTGTTTGGTGTAGATTTTCGTCCTGCAAAACACTGACGTTCTCTTCCGCCTTCACTCTTGTGGTCTCTGTGTTGACACCTTTTTCGGGTAGGAGAGGAGCATGGAGTGCGCTAGATGTAGCGCAGGTCTACTCTCAGTTTGAATGCCGTCCCTGCACTCGCTGTGCTGCGGAGCACACGGTTGGACAGTCATGTATTAAAGCGTTTCAGGAGAAGTAATATTTGTCTCGGGAATGGCGAACGGGCGGGATCGGCGCTGTGCAGGCCGGCATAAAAATAGGCGGAACAGTGACATATGCCATGTCTGATCGGACAACCGGCTGAGGCAGGGCGAAGATAGAAGGAAGATGGAAAATTATACCGGGTAGTTGCTATAAAACACTTCCTTGTGGCAAATCATCGTCTTTGTGATCGGAGTAAATTTGATGAGCCTGACCCACTATATATGGCTTGTGCGCTTGCGAAGGCCGCTAATGATGCCAAACATGGATGCGTTGAAGTTTTTTGGCAAGGTTTTCGAGACGATGCCATGCGAATGGGGCCCCCAAGTTATATTGGGTTCGGTCCTCTGTGTGAGCGTGTCTCCCGAGTAAGTAGATCTCATTGTGTCATTTTAAGGCATGCTTTTAAGCAAGCAAACCAACTAAGGGGTCACCAGGGCGACGGCTGTCTATGTGAACGATCGATTGTAGAAGCGTGCCCGCCCATTTTGTCGAAGTAGGCATGCCTGATCTAGGTTGCATTTCGATTAAAGCTTAGGAAAATAGTCAACTATGTGCTTTATGTCGGGTTAAGGAATAAGGTTAGGTTAAGGATCGGGATTAAAGATTCTTATTTAGTCAATAACTTTGGATCACCCATTTTACCCGTTTGGACACCTCTATTTAACATATTTTAAGATGTAATGTTTTAAACTGCCACATCGATGAAATCGAATAATAAAATATTTGACAGAATCGCGAGTTTTCTCGACGCAGAAACCAATGTTAACATCATCCCCATAAAGCAGGACTCCCTGGGTCTTCTCTTCGTAGGTGGTTTGCATATCCAAATCTCGCCGGCAACAGTGTTTAAAAAAGTTTCTGCCACGTTCCCTTTGACATGGTCCTAAATTTATGCAGTTAAGCCGATAACTGTAGAACAATCTACTACCGCACACGAGAATATGAACGCCTCACCTCCATAGTAACCGGGATGGGTTAGAGTAAGGGTTATGTTGGATAGAGATAAGGCTACTGTTGGGCGGTTTACGGCAAGGTTTGAAGTTCAGAATCGGTAAAGTTACGCCCGAGAATTGGCGTGTGTTACTAGAGTTTGATATTCTCCTGCCTAAGTGGTACACGGCAGAAAAACAACACCTAATTGAGTAAATGTTGTGAACAGTCTTGTACACGGATGCAAACCATACACCTGCCCTGTCCAGTTATACAGATGGTTTAGGGAGGCAATACAATTCACCAGACCGACTCTGACCTGAGGTTTGATTGTTCGTTGCTTTTAAAAGATCTTTTGAAATACACTCAAATTGTTATTACCTGTGCCGCATCCTAGCCCAAAGCAGCGAAATTATGGCATTAAGTCAAGCGAAAACGAGATAAGTTGTGTTTCTGAAAGCATCATCAACTGCAGTGTTCACGGCGACATGAATGCCTATCAGTCCTGCTCTACGAGGAGCCTGTTCGTTTCTCTACAGCATCACTTCGCTCCTGGTCCTGCTCCTTAGTATACTTAAGACGCTGTCAGCCTTCCACTGTTTAAACCAGTTTTACGAAACTGAAAATTATGCTCAACTATGCTACTTAGGATGTTGCCGGCTTTCTATTGGAAAGCACCGATAACCCTGGCATTGACCGCTGGCCTAGAACAAACATGGATGCGGGGAATACTAAAACTACTAATATGAGTCTCTATTAAATCTTCGCTGTTTATGCATGTGTGTTGTGCCCACTTCCCCCCTTCTCCCCCAGGACCCGTCATTTGTCTCTCTCCTGTCGTCAACTAGCTTGCTGGCTCAATCAACATAAATGGCTTAGCTAAAATATAATTAATGGACGGCAGAAGAGGAAACGTGACGGTGCCACAATTGTATTTTATTTAAACAAGTTCCCATAACTTCCAAGTTTAATAATAGAAAAGTATTGGCTATTGAAACGGAGCGGCATCATATTTAGCATCTGGGCGTATTGTGCTGGAGGTAGGCACTGTTGGCTAGTGTTTGTGCTCTTGCAATGACTGCCCTTTTCCATGTGGACGCACGACCTTCTTTGGCGTCTTCCTTGACATATCCATGACGGAGAATAGGAAATTTGAGGTTCGCCATATGCAAGGAGAAGGGCCTCTGCGACACGTAGATCATGTTTGCTTCGGAATTCGCACTGACATTGACCAGATCCAGACTCAGTGCCTCCAAACTTGCTTGATTCTGTAAAAGAATGCTCTGGGTAAAAGATAACCTCAGGACCTCCAGATTGCGCCTGCTTACCTTTCTTGCGAAATGCAGAGTTAGGGCAGGAAAAGTGATTTTGCAAGAAAACTGGACAAATGCACCTTCGCGGAATGCCTCCTTGAATATGCAGTCGTCGCTGAACCCCGGAGTCTCCAAAGTTATTGAGAAGACTGTTTCGCTGAAGCCGTCATGATTCCCGTAAGACGCTCCACGGTAAGTTGCACAAAGTCTGTCAAATAAAGGCCACCATTGTGGCGAGGGCACTTTTTTGTTTGTGGGTTATGAAATGCAAAAAAAATTGTTATAAAGCATGTCGAAAAGTGGACAGCGCTTGACAACTGACAAGACATATGGATAATCCTTACTGTAACCTATAGACAAAAAAGTACATGGGTTCGAACTGTGTAGTGTAAATATTATGTAGTAGTTAGAATAGAGTATCTTGTTTAATTCAGAACTGTGTACCTAATTGAGGTATATATAACTGCAGTCTGAATGATTACATTTGCCTGGAGTGTCTTAGGAGAGCTGTCGACACGTACCGAGGCGCGTGAGGCAGGTCTGGCAGGGAAGAGGAGAATAGACAATCAGGAGCAGTGTTAGGCCCCAGTGCATGATGAGTGCTCTGTCACACGACCGAGTGTCTAATGTGGAAATGTGATCTCTGGAATTGAATACAATTGGTTGTCAGTCCCCGATTGGTCCTACGGCTTCGCAAGTTTGATGCTGTCTCTTTCTATGCTTTTGCCTCTCACGACGAATTAGCTGACCAGCCCCACAACCGTCGTGAATGAACTTTTGGCCCAGTATGTGAGACAGGCACCAGTTTGGCTTGTTCGTATTTGCTTACTTGCGTACTGGAATGTGTTTATCTTTCTACGCCTGCGCCCGTCTAATGCTTAGATACGTGGATTATTGATAAATAGGCTATGACATGAAAGAGGAAAGGAGTGCATTTGAATCAGTTAGAATGCAAATATCTCAGATTTTTGAACCATATTTCCTGCCTTGGGCATATGTTAACGTCCCGGTCTCACTAAAACGATAGAGATGTTTAATTTGTGGTTGGTCGTCCTTGTTTACTTGCGTACTGTCGGGTGTTTAACTTTCTATATCTATCTGTTCATTGAATGAACTAATGATTGAACTAATAATAAGTAGTCTGCAAGATAAAAGGAGTACTTGAGATAGAGTACCATGAGAGTACAAACGAAAACTCATAAAAGGAGTTCCCATAAAGCACTTTAGAGACATCCTTCTTCTCCCAATTTCACTGTCTATTTAAACAATATAAAGAACTCGTAATATTCTGAACAAGTAATAATGTGGCCTTCTCTCTCCAATAGGCCATGGATTAACGAATACTCGCATTTTCGGAAGTTTATATGAAATACAAATAACTACAGCACTGCTCTTAACAACATGGCTGACTTTGTTGCGGTCGCAATTCGCATGGAAATGCCGGAAAAGTAGTCAAATCGAATCCTCCGCGATTTCGCACAACCCATCGAGAACTTAAGACCAAGAGCGCCCACGCCTCCCCACCGTCGCATGACTGACACAAAGATTAATGAGCAAACCATTCCGGGCATGCTGTGGATCGAATTGGCCCCATGACAATCCTCGCATACGTATTTATATCAATAAATGCGCTAAAAGCTGTGGCTTTGAAGACTGCCATCTAGGCGATACCTTGTTCCACTCGGGACAGGGGGTCATGCTGAAACAACCCCCTCTTAGTGTAGCCAACGTGACGCTCGCACACACTTGGGATCGGGATAGACGTCTTGTTAGTGTGTATTTTGACTGAAGTCCGGGTGATGCGTACAATAGGAGTGATACCTGGAAGTACGACGACCTCGCCTGCGACAAAATCGGCCTGGTAATCAACACGAGGAAAACGGTTGTTACGCATCAACTGCCAACCGACGCTGCCCACAACTCCCCGCAAATAAACGTGAACGATGTCCAAATACAAGTCGAGGACAACTTCATCTACCTGGACGGCACCCTTTCCCGCATCCTCAAGACCGAAGATGAAGTGGTCAGACAGGAGTGGAGAGTCAAGCACTTCGACCTCAGCTGTCCTTGGGCGGATAACGAAGCTGAGGTGGCAGGACCCGATTCTGGACGCAGATGTACTTCGACAGACGGGAATCCTCAGCAGTCACGTCATGCTGAGACAGCTGAAAATGCGCTGGAGCGGCCAATTCGTGCTCATGGACGACGAGCGGCTACTCAAAGGAATCTCCTGTGGAGATGTTGCGACGGGTTCTCGCCTACTAGGAGGCAAAGTTCGTCGATACAGGGAACTGGGAAGACCTCGCACGAGACCGTTCTACCTGGAAGAGTACAGTTAAGACGAGCGCAGTGACCTACGAGGCCAACCGCATCACCACCGCAACAGCCAAACACGGGTCTCGCAAATCTCAACTGCGCCCATCTCGCAACCCCAACTTTCAAACAGCCCCGACCTATCAATTTTGCCAGCGAGCTTTCCGGGCACCAGTCGGCCTTTGAGGACATCTGCTCACAAACTGCAGAGTCAGAATTGCGCCAGCTGCTGTACAGTCGTCCAACGCATTCTCATCCCCCTCGCCGACAACTAACATTCATCACATTCCCGGATCCCCACTACCGTCCTCCTCCTTCTCCTACATTGCCTTAGCATCCGCTACAACGGTTTCTGTACACACCACCACTGCAAATATCAACTTCGCCCTCCCTCCACCACATATCACAACGTCATCGTCCAACACAAGCATTCAATCGCCACCTCCCAAGTCTCGGCTCCGTCTCCCTTCAGCTTCTTTGCTGCACGCGGGACTCGAGTCCGAGGCTATCGTGTCGCATCAAGTGCTGTGGCTCGGAAGGCTGTCGACTGAGGCCCCATCTCACCCCACGCATTTGGTCCAGTTGTGTGCGTATGTCTGGAGTTGCGGACTAATGGACGGAGAAGCAGGCTGATGAAACTACCTTTTACGTGACTTATGGCACCCTCACACATGTGAGAGGAACGCCGCTGAATCCCCGTTGTGTGAAATACTCGTGCATATGTTTTGGAGGCCAGGTCGTGCACATGGCGCGCTCAGACACAGTCATTGTATATGTCAGCCATTGCGCTCATTCACCACGTCTGTCAACTGACTGGCTCGGACTGTGACTGAGTGCTGGAAGTAGGAAGAGGGAGTGAAGTCGATAACTCAGTGCATTTTTTTCATTATAAACAATCTGATACGCTTGAGGGTATCACGTTGCACTAGACGTCGCGACTTCGAAGGTTGCCAACAGACGGTGTAACTCGGAACTCGCAGTCTACCCGGTGTTGAGTTTGTGAGTTTTGAACGGTCAATCGGAGATTTAATTGATAGGTTGCAATTGCACTTTCTTAATTTGGCATTTATTGTACGCGCAATCCATGAGATCAAGGCCAGATGTGACGGAACGACTAGGTTTGGCTTCGGCTGTGCCAGCCATCCTTTTGTTGTTACTTAAAATCCGTGTCATTTGCTGTGAGGATCAAAGGGTTGCGGAGTGGAGCGCCAATATGCCATGCACCTACGCACTCATCGCCTCCGGCCTTCTTGACGCGTGGGTTCGAGGCGGGAGAGGAGGAGAAAGTGCGGTAGATAACGCGCAAGCCCACTATTTCCATGAAATAAATCACGAGCAAGTTACCGTGCCTGATGCATCTTGTTGTACCGCACAATTTACCGGTGTCCAGTTCTCTCGGCTGTTAGGGAATTCGGGTCAGGGTTAGGGCTAGATATTAAGGATTAGGCCTTATTTCGTGGATTTACGATTACAGATGGAGCAATGATTAGGGAGTTGGGTTATGCATATGGCATTCGCTATCCGTGTAGATTTCAGTAGTAGAACTCTCGTTAGGGTTAGGTTGCACTCATAAGACCCTGTTTGCTGTTAAGTTTCGACTTCCTTTCATTAGTTTCCTCCACAGGCAAGTTAATGAATATTTGAACCGACGATCAATTTGTCAAATCCCGTGACAGGCAGGGTTGCTGAGCGATTTCTCAACGGAATATTCGGCGCCTTGATTTCTGCAACGATTTACCAACCGGCGTACAACGAGGTCTAGGTTCACAAACATATATCTGGCACCGAGTGCATCCTCACTCTTAGACCCAATACCCTATTTCACCTTTTGAATTTGACACCAACCTTAATCATTATGCAAAACTTTTCCCGTCCGACAAATGTTTTAACAGGCATTAAGTCTTCCATGGCTTAGAGAGGTCAGTCTAAGTATTAACTAATTTGTGTCCGTTTAGGCATGTGCCCACGAATTCGTCGTCGAAGGACAAAGCTCAATGATTAAATCGCCGTCAGAGTGGCAGAAAACCTACTGCTGTAACGTATTCCAAACAATGTGGTCCATTTTTATCCACCAATTAAAAAAACTCAGATAAATGCGATCAAAACTGTCCAACGTCAGTTCAGGAAAAAGGTGGTCTTGCAACCGTCGATCACTAGTGTATGGAGAGAGCTGGTGACTGGGTTGGGCCAATCAGCGATTGATAAACAGCCGCATTTGACTCTGCAAGTCTCGCAGACATGCGGCGGAGTACTCATCACTTGCAGCTGAGGCTGGTATTGATCGTCATTCTGAATTCTCCACCTCCCCTCTGCCAGACATGCTTCACAGGCCTCGGTAACTGTCGTTTATTCTGTGACAACCTCGCAGTCATGTCTATTTCGGCTAACTACTGACATGCATTCTTGTTAGAATTCATACTGACATTAGATGAAATGTGCCACGAAATATTAGTTGGGGTACTAAAATATGATTTAGGTGCGAAGGGCTCGTTTAGTTTGGGTTATAGTATTGCTGGCCATGCGAATAATCGAACATTTAATAAGTCAGGTTAGTGTGCAAAATTATAAGTGCCTGTCCTTACGGTCATTTAAATAAATCGCCCACATCAACAGCTACCTAAAATATATATATAGACAGAATGGTATTTTCGACAAAGACAAGGGAGATTGGAATGGCCATTTCTGGCTTATTAGCCGTCGTCAGCCAGCCATACTCAAGCCCGAAGTGTGGAACACTCGAGGATCGAACTCGCGACCTGTTGGTTTAGAAGTCCACGCCTCTACCTACCGGGCCACGAGCCCGTTGTCTTGTCGGTTTTCGATCGAGAATATTCAATGGGAGGGGGCGCTCACTGCTCGTTCCGTATAAACGATCGGTGAGTGCCCCCTACCAAAATATACATATGAAACTGTCTACAGATTTCTGATACCCTACTCAATATAAATATATTTTCTAGAGATCACGCCAATTATTGTCAGTTACTGCACCGACATTCCAGTGAAGTATGTCTTTCATTAACTTCTAACAAAGAAGGCATATGATCGGAACAAAAACACACTTCTGACTGCGGAATGTTTAAGATCATAACACGAATATTTGCTGAGCATATTATCTGTCGATTTTCAAATACCGCACAGGATGCATGCAACGCAGTATATATCCAAATCCCAAAATTCTGGGATCACTATTCAGTAACTTCTTATTACTATAAAAAAATTCATTCTTTGTCGTTGTCTTCTTGTTTTTTTTCTAATACAGAAAAAATTCATTGTTTTTTATT